ACTATTATATATTATACTCCTACATGATATGTGTGGTCCACACCAAAAATTTATTATTGAATAATACTTTTTAATTTATTTTTTAATTACTTGTAATTCGCCATTAGAAAATACATAGAACTCTAAATTTTCACACTTATACCATCAACCCTATTGTTTATTTTATTTGGCAAAACAACATTAGCCGGGTCACCTGGATTTTTGTAAATAAATGGACTCTCTAAGTTACTAAGTAAACACAAAGCTACAAACTATGAGCCTTTCCTAATAACATGTTGTTACTTTCCGTTTGTAAAAGTGTTCATGTGATTATAGTTCTGTACCAATTACTTTACAAATACACAACATTCATACAAAGTAGTGTATGTATGTATGTGTATGAATGGCATATCAATTGCACTAATTGTATTTAACATGTATGACGCATAGCTACATGTGTGTACGCCAGTGTCTAGACTCTACACTGCTAGATTACATACATTCACATTACGCTCTACAGGAAAGTTGTTATTTTTTATGTTTTCAGTAGAATTACTGTATTTGTTATCGATAAATACCTCTTATTTTGAGTCTGAGTTTGTCAGCGTGGAAATAAATTCTAAAATAAAAGTAGTTAAGTTCCTTCTTCTCATACTAACTATCTGCGAATGAATGTCCCGACAAAATCGGTCTAGCCGTTTAGGGGTTAAGCACAGACCGATATTTTACACCGACAGATATTTTATTATGTAAATATCGTATATGATATACGTTTAATGAAAAGCTGTTAACTTGATATTACAAACAGATGCTTCAATTTTATTTGTTTGTATTCTTCTTCAATTCTTCAATTCGAATGGGTGGAATTTATCAAAATCCTTTCTTAGGGGATGCCTACGTCATAGTAGCTTTATGCATACAAAGTCTCAGCCCGATCGATTTAAAATTGACAAAGTTTCATACAAACTTTCATCCCCTATTTTATCCCCTTGGGGGTAGAATTAATCAAAATCCTTTCTTAGCGGATGCCTACGTCATAACATCTACCTGCATGCCATATTTCAGCCCGATCCGTCCAGTGGTTTGGGCTGTGCGTTGATAGATCACTACGTCAGTCACCTCTATGTTATATATACTCGTATTTAGTCTCGTGTTATGTCTACATATACTTCGTGGATCCGATTATGTACACCATAATCTAGAGGTGAGAGACTAATAAAACTTTGAGAATTATTTTTTTATGTAAGTACCGCATACACTTTCATATGAATCTAATAATAATAATAATAATCTCAGGACAATTCACACAGCGCCATCTAGTCCCAAGTTAAGCTATCTAAAGCTTGTGTTATGGGTACTAGATAACTGATACAAGTACATAGATATTTTTTTTTCGTAAATACATACATATTATACATAGAAAACACCCGAACCAATACAAACAATCATACTCATGAATACAAGTGTTTATACCGTGCGAGGAATCGAACCCGCGACCATCGGACGTAAAGCGGTGTGCTAGACCACTAGACCACCGAGGTCGTTGAGAATTTAATGAAAAGCTGTTAATTTGAAATTACAAACACCTGTCCATGTCCACATCAATGGAACATTAATCTATATGTCTGTCTGTACACTGCGTTTATCTATATTAAGATAGTGTATAGTACTGTATAGCCCGGCAGATAACATCGCAAACGTAAGGTTTTCCATAAAATCACTGCTATGTTTGTCGTTGATTGTTAATGATGTACGAAACTGCCGCGGCGACCTTGTCCCAATACATATATCTTAATTAGGGTTGCCAACCACACTTTATAATAACGTATCCTACTTTATTTTTGTTATACTTTATACTTTAACATAAAGTATGCTAAAATACTTTATCTTCAACCTTCACTGTGATGCGTAAAACAAAATATTCATTATGGGTACTTAACGAGTTATAATTACTGAACGAAATGTTAGATGTCAATTGTGAGTTGTGACATTTGTCACAGTTCACAGATGTCACTCATTATCTAAGGAATTGTACAAAAATGATCTGGTTTTGTTTATAATTGAAGATTAAAAACGAATTGTTTATTTATTTAAATTTAACTGTTGATTGTCAAACAAGCTACATTTAAAGATAACGAAAAATTGTTAGCTATAAAAACGTGAAATATGATTTTTTGTTTTATTCCATACAAGTTTATACTTTATTATTTTAATGTTGGCAACCCTAATCTTCATTGACCTTTATAATATTGTGTACGAGTGACATAATATTTATACAAATATATCACAACACGGCGTAGTTCATCTTAAATCGTGTGAATGTAAATATCATGTCTATATTTATATGTATAAATAACTCATTAACTCATTCCGTTATAGTCATTTTATATTTTACTGACGATACGACTATTTGTATGAGTGTGCAGTATAGATTTATATATCACACTAGTTGTACACTTTATTTTTCTAAAATATAAGTAGCCTAAGTTACCCATTATTACATCAGCTACCTGCCAATAAAAGTCCCGTCAAAATCGGTCCAGCCATTTCAAAGATTAGCCTGAACAAACACACAGACAGACAAAAAATTGTAAAAAATATCATGTTGGTGTATGTATTGTATTTATATTCATATGCATGTAGTAAAAAACTGTTATTTCAATATTACAAACAGACACTCCAATTTTATTTATTTGTATAGATATGTTTAGCGCAAAGAAACAAAGCTTCTCAAACAATCTAGATACGAGTGTAAAATTATTTGTGAATTCAGTTGAGCAACGAGTAGAGCACTCTCATGGTCATGCTTTTAGCATGCTTACACTAAACAAAAAGGAAAGTGGCAAAGGACGCGAGATGCGATATGATTTGATATGACTCTACATCAAGAATACTACATTGTTATACCATACCATACATAGTAGGTCAAGTAAAATATATATAACTCAAAGGTGATTAACGTAGTGATCTATCAACGCACAGCCCAAACCACTGGACGGATCAGGCTGAAATTTGGCATGCAAGTAGATGTTATGACGTAGGCTGCTAAGGAAAGATTTCGATTAATTCTACCCTCAAGGGGATAAAATAGGGGATGAAAATTTGTATGTAACTTTGTCAATTTTAAACCGATCGGGCTGAGACTTTGCACTCATAAAGCTACTATGACGTAGGCATCCCCTATGAAAGGATTTTGATAAATTCCACCCCTAAGGAGATAAATTAACGCGAGCGAAGCAGCAGGCAAAAGCTAGTAAAATATATACGCAGATCTTGAACATTATTACTGTAGCATTATATTTCTCGTCTTTCGAGTTAAAAATTAATAAATAGAGCAAGTCGCATGCTAATTGCTATAGACAACAACGTAAAGGCAAAGGATGAGAGACGACTGCATGCAACTAAAATGCGAATGTTGATAATGGATGTGTTGGTGTAATAAAGAATTAATACATTATAGGAAGTATGAAAGTGGCGCCGGTGTCGGAGAGGTTGAAGAGTAATCGTCTGTCGTAGGAATGAAGATCATATCCTAAAGAAGGTGGTACATATGAATGTGGACGGTTGTAAGGGTAGAGGAAGACCGAAAAAGAGATGGATGGACTGTGTGAAAGATGATGTGGTATGAAAGGAAGTAAATTACGAAATGACTGCGATTAGCGATGAATGGAAGAGAAAAACATATTACGCAGACCACAAATAACAATAACAATAATAATCTCAGGACATTTCACACAGCGCCATCTAGACCCAAATTAAGCTAGCTAAAGCTTGTGTTATGGGTACTAGATAACTGATACAAATACATAGATATATTTTTTTTTTTTAATGTAAATACATACATATTATACATAGAAAACACCCAGACCGATACAAACAATCATACTCATGAATACAAATGTTTGTACCGTGCGAGGAATCGAACCCACGACCATCGAATAGTAAAGCGGTGTGCTGAACCACTAGACCACCGAGGTTGTCAAAATAAATGGGATAAGGAAGAAGCGGATGATGATTGCGAGCTGCAGATACTGTCGGCTGAGTCACGATTTTAATATCACCTAGATTGAGTAGTAACAATACTAATTAACATAGTAAACTGCGCTGAACATGTTTCGCTCTACGGTTTTGTTCATAACGTTCATTGCGTTTCATAAACAAAGCTGCCGAAGAATTAATCGAAGGTCACGTTTCAAATACTGCAAGATGTAACAGAGATGTACATAAAAATTGGTGGAGCGAATCAGCCGAGCCCGTTTGTTTGCTCGGTGCGCTGTGACAGTTTTCAACGAATATCCATTGCTAACTGACATACGTACAGTATTTATATTAATTGAGAATAATATTAAAGAACACGTTAATTTGTAAACTGAATTTATATATTTTTATATAAAATATGCTTTTGTAATGATAAGTTTGTTGAAGGCGTGGGAGACATTATTCAATTCGACCACACATGTCGATTGTGACGAGAGTGAAAGTGAGATTTTTTTTATACCACGTAGGTGACAAACAAGCATACGGCCCATCTGATGGTAGACGGTTACGGTAGCCTATGGACGCCTGAAACACATGGGGTGTCACATGCGCGTTCTCTTGTCTCTTGCTCTTCAACTGTCCAAAATATGGTCATGTTGCGCATCTGAGATTAAGTGTCGTGAAATTCAGTGATTTATTATACTTATTTTACAAAAGAAGTTATTCTTGTGGAAACATTATGAATTTTGTTTCAATTACCAATCGTCCTCACTAAGTATTTGTAGCTATTTTATTAACTAATACCAACCATACATTTGGTAGAATATTTGAGTAAAACGAACACTTTCACATATATAATTTGCATGCCCATTTGGTAAATATTGCTGATCAATAATGTTAATGAAACATTATTGATCAGCAATATTTACATCATATTTACTGTACATATACTACGTAAATAAATTATTTCATTTTGTTTCGTTTCATTTCATTTCATTTAATTTCATAAATATATGCTTAATTGTAATTTTATCTTGTTACAGACGAAAGGGAGGATGTCCAAAAGAAAACGTTTGCAAAATGGATAAACTCACAATTAGTGAAGGTATGTATAAATACATTATATACTACACTAACTTTTGCCCGCGGCTTCTCTCGCGTTAATTTATCTTTTTAGTGGTGGAATTTATAAAAATCCTTTCTTAGGCGATGCCTACGTCATAGTAGCTTAATGCATGCAAAGTCTCAGCCCGATCAGTTTAAAATAGACAAAGTTTCATGTAAAGTTTCATCCCCTATTTTATCCTCTTGGGGGTAGAATTAATCAAAATCCTTTCTTAGCGGATGCCTACGTCATAACATCTATTTGCATGCCAAATTTCAGCCCGATCCGTCCAGTGGTTTGGGCTGTGCGTTGATAGATCACTATGTCAGTCACCTTTGAGTTATATATACTACATTATATTATAGCATGTAATATATGAGTGCAATGGTTCCGAAATCAAGGAACTATTTATTATTTAGTAATGTGGACTTATGATCATATTGCTAGCAATGTATTATGTCAGGTTATCCACCACGGCAACATGTATTAATAATATATATTGTAATTTTAGTATTTTAAACAAATCTATACTAAATACATCGCAGTCAGACCATTGTGGACAAATAGCAAATGTAATGAAAAAATGAGATTATATATAAGTTCTACAGACCATATAACTAGTGCAGGGCTGTAAATATGGTGTCGTGTTCCAGAACGACAAGCAGCTGGTGGGCGACCTGTTCGTGGACCTGCGCGACGGCGAGGTGCTGCTGTCGCTGCTCGAGATACTCACCGCGCAGCAATATGTTAGTACACCATACCTACTCTGAACAAGTGTACCATCAATACTTCCTAGCAGGGGCGGATTGTGACTTTGTAGGGCCCTGGGCTAAAACTACTGAGGGGCCAGGGGAAAGGGGATTGTTACTAATGTGGACTAGACCTCATTGCTAGCAATGACAATGTCAGGTGACCTACCTACGCGGTTCCCACTGGAAACTGTGGTGATAAATTCATGGCAAATTTACCACGATGTGCTAACTGACCTGACCTCATGTTCATCTTATCATCCTCCACTAGTGCCCCGCTATGGATGTTTGTTTATTACTCTTTCATGCAAAAACTACTGAACGGATTTTGATAAAACTTTACAGTAATATTGTTTATACATCAGAATAACACATTGGCAATAATTTAAAAAGATAGAATGTATATTGAGTATGTGTGATGCGGACGAATTTACGTGGGTCAGCTACTTTTTTTATTTTAAATATCGCCTATTGTTTTCAGTGGGGGCTGGGGGCCCTTTGTGTTCATGTGGCCCTGGGCTGCAGCCCAAAAAGCCCTTAGGTAGATCCGCCCCTGCTTACTAGTAATTAATAAACTGAATATATTGACGTGAAAATATATTTTTATAATGATTACTAGCTGTCCCGGTAAATGTATTGCCATATAAATTAATATCGATATTAAATATAGGGGTTGATGGTAGAAGGGTGCAAAAAAAAATTAATAAAAATCTGTAAAGCCGTTTCGGTAAAGTTTGGTAATAAACACCGCGACACGTGAATTTTATATATTAGATATTGCATCCCTTGTAATTTAAAGTAAATAATTTAGCTTAGTTTTCAAAAAGCATTGTTTAGTGACTGGTAGCGCCATCTGTGTTTTAATAGTGGTACTTCTTTGTCTTGTTAGTTCATAAAGCGACCGTTTCGTCGTAAAAGATGAGTGATAGCTGTTTGTGTTTCTCATTTTTAATGCATTTAAAATGAATAAAAATAATAATAAATGATAGACAGCGTTGACAGAAAGAAGTTTTTATTTTTATTTTTAATTACAATTATTTTACGAGGCATTATAAATAGAGGTTTCATGTGGTAACACTATCATCTGTGTCCTTATTGAATCGCGCCTTTTCTTCACTCTATTAAAAAATATGGCAGTAGTAATGTTATGTCCTAAAAAATCTACCAAGTATCTACTGTACAGACTTTCTACAAAGTTATATATATATCTGAGTGTCACCTATTGAAATTGTCAAGTAGCTTGCTTTGTAAGCTGTTTTGGTTGAAGAGTCAAATTACTAGATATCGTAATCCTCAGGCTAAGACTAATATTTGTGGCCTCGTAATGCCCACAGACATTGTTAAATATCCTATGATTTATATGTTGATAAATAAAATAATTATCATTAAGACTGTATTAAGAGTAACAACCAACATAGCTGTATAGGATGTTCCTTAGTGTGCATAAATCTATATAAAAAGTGAAAATATTTTGGCGCCAAAAAGTGAAAACAAAATTTTAAAAAACATAATACTGTATAGATATTGATGAGAACTTTAGAGCAAATATATAGTTACAGTTTTGAATTGCATGTAATTGTTGGAAGCACATATTTAAAGCTACAAAATAAATTGTATTTTATAGTGATTACACTTTACATTGTTTTTAAAGAAAAATAATTTTATTTTTTCTCAGACTCCTCAGATCTTAAGCCTTACACTAAGACTAAGATATAAATAGATATCTTAGTCTTAGTGTAAGGCTTAAGATCTGAGGAGTCTGAGGATCTAAATAGGCACCAATTTGCCTCACATGACCACATGATGTATTACATATATACGACAGTCACCACTCACCGTTAGGTGGGGTATAAGTTTGTTTGTCATTCTTATTAACCTACTAGCTATACCCGCGACTACGTCCGCGTGGAATATAACTTTATTTTTCTAAAATAAAAGTAGCTTGAGTTACTCCTTATTACATCAGCTACCTGCCAAAATAAGTCCCGTCAAAATCGGTCCGGCCATTTCAGAGATTAGCCGGAACAAACGGACAGACAAAAATTGTAAAAAAAAATATTTTGGTCCATGTACCGTATTTGTATTCATATGCATGTAGTAAAAACTGGGTATTTCAATATTACAAACAGACACTCCAATTTTATTTATATGTATAGATTATAACTTATTTATATGTTGATAGTGTATAAAATAAACAGTATATATATGTATAGTAATCCGAGTGTGTGGTGTTGTGTTGGACAGAAGCGCGAGCGCGGCCGCATGCGCGTGCACCACATCAACAACGTGAACACCGCGCTGCACGTGCTCGAGACCAACGGCGTCAAGCTGGTCAACATCAGCAGCAACGACGTCGTCGACGGCAACCCCAAGCTCATACTCGGTATCTACACCGTACTCCCCTTACAACCCCCCCCTCCTCCTCCTCCTCCTCCTCCTCCTCCAAGACCCTCACACTCCGCCCCCCACGCTTTGCCCCTTGTCCTCCATTCTTTGCCCCTCGTCCTTTTTGCTTTGCCCCTCTTCCTCCATGCTTTGCCCCTTGTCCTCCATTCTTTGCCCCTCGTCCTTCATGCTTTGCCCCTCTTCCTCCATGCTTTACCCCTCGTCCTCCATGCATTGCCCCTCGTATTCCATGCATTGCACCTCGTCCACCATGCTTTGCCCCTCTTCCTCCATTCTTTGCCCCTCGTCCTCCATACTTTGCCCCTTTTCCTCCATGCTTTGCCCCTTGTCCTCCATTCTTTGCCCCTCGTCCTTCATGATTTGCCCCTCTTCCTCCATTCTTTGCCCCTCGTCCTCCATGCATTGCCCCTCGTCCTCCATACTTTGCCCCTCTTCCTTCATGCTTTGCCCCTTGTCCTCCATTATTTGCCCCTCGTCCTTCATGCTTTGCCCCTCTTCCTCCATTCTTTGCCCCTCGTCCTCCATGCATTGCCCCTCGTCCTCCATGCATTGCCCCTCGTCCTCCATGCATTGCCCCTCGTCGTCCATACTTTGCCCCTCGCTCTCCGCGCCCCGCCTCTGCCCCCGTACCCCGCACCTCGTCCCTTGTCCCTTCGGCATTGGCCCGTCCTCCTCTCATCGATTGTAGTGAATAGGTACTCGGATTTAGTGAGCTGATAATTTAAATTAATTTAAAATAGAACGAATGCATATTTGGCTCTTGCTTTTTTACCAGATTATTTGGTATTATTCTGAGCATATTGTCATTCACTTAGTTTCATTTTATGTGTTAAATTTTTAGATCTTTCTAGAAAGAGGCTAACTAAAGAGTGCGCCGTGACATTCTTCTTATGACATATACGACTAATTGCAATGATATCATGTATAGGTCTGGTATGGAGCATAATCCTGCACTGGCAGGTGCACTACCACCTCAAGGACCTGATGTCGGAGTTGCAGCAGACCAACCTGGAGAAAACATTGTTGGCTTGGTGCCGTACCCACACACAGGTAAGGTATTCGACTGTAATAAAATTTGCGTAGGGAACTTCTTCGAATCCCGAGTGTGCCCTAGCGTCTTCCTATATTCATATGATTCAGAATTAATAAGAGTGACCATCAGCAGATGCTATTGCAATTTTGTCAACAACGATCAGTATCCGTAACCTGAACAGACTATAGAAATAGAAATAATCTTTATTCAAATAAAATAAGCACTTTCGAATATTCATCACAAGAAGAATGAGCAAGAAACTTGTATGTGGTGCTCTTTTAAATAAATATTGATTTACTACTTTCGAGAATAGTGTGACCACCAGCAAATTTTATTGCAATGTTGTCAAAAGTAAAAAAGTTTGATCAGTGTCCATAATCTGAACAGATTAGTCCTCACTAGCAGCACTCGTTCACGAGTATGACATAATTCTTATAAAGAATCGATCTGTCGTCGTGTTAGTCGTACATGTGTGTGTGTATGTGTTCCCGTATAGAACTACGCGGGCGTGGACGTGAAGAACTTCACGAGCTCGTGGTCGGACGGGCTGGCCTTCAACGCGCTGCTGCATCGCTGGCGGCCGCAGCTGTTCGACTTCGCGGCGCTGCTGCGGAAGTCGCCCGCCGCCCGCCTCGACCACGCCTTCCACCTCGCGCACTCCCACCTCCACATCGACCGCCTGCTGGACCCCGAGGGTGACCACACACCACACACCACACGACACACTCCACCACGACTGCGGCGGCCGCCCGCCGCCCGCCTCGACCACGCCTTCCACCTCGCGCACTCCCACCTCCACATCGACCGCCTGCTGGACCCCGAGGGTGACCACACACCACACGACACACTCCACCACGACTGCGGCGGCCGCCCGCCGCCCGCCTCGACCACGCCTTCCACCTCGCGCACTCCCACCTCCACATCGACCGCCTGCTGGACCCCGAGGGTGACCACACACCACACGACACACTCCACCACGACTGCGGCGGCCGCCCGCCGCCCGCCTCGACCACGCCTTCCACCTCGCGCACTCCCACCTCCACATCGACCGCCTGCTGGACCCCGAGGGTGACCACACACCACACGACACACACTCCACCACGACTGCGGCGGCCGCCCGCCGCCCGCCTCGACCACGCCTTCCACCTCGCGCACTCCCACCTCCACATCGACCGCCTGCTGGACCCCGAGGGTGACCACACACCACACGACACACTCCACCACGACTGCGGCGGCCGCCCGCCGCCCGCCTCGACCACGCCTTCCACCTCGCGCACTCCCACCTCCACATCGACCGCCTGCTGGACCCCGAGGGTGACCACACACCACACGACACACTCCACCACGACTGCGGCGGCCGCCCGCCGCCCGCCTCGACCACGCCTTCCACCTCGCGCACTCCCACCTCCACATCGACCGCCTGCTGGACCCCGAGGGTGACCACACACCACACGACACACTCCACCACGACTGCGGCGGCCGCCCGCCGCCCGCCTCGACCACGCCTTCCACCTCGCGCACTCCCACCTCCACATCGACCGCCTGCTGGACCCCGAGGGTGACCACACACCACACACCACACGACACACTCCACCACGACTGCGGCGGCCGCCCGCCGCCCGCCTCGACCACGCCTTCCACCTCGCGCACTCCCACCTCCACATCAATCCTTTATTAGCGGATGCCTACGTCATAACATCTACCTGCATGCCAAATGTCAGCCCGATCCATCCAGTGGTTTGGGCTGTGCGTTGATAGATCACTACGTCAGTCACCTTTGAGTTCTATATATTTAGATATATAGTACAACGGTTGCACCACAACACCTCACGGCCTCACAACGGTTAATAACCAGTATGCTTATAGCAGGCGTTGGTTTCACTTGTCTCTCACATATACAACATTGGCGTCGAGAATGGGATCTCTCGCATACACAGCACTAACAATAACATAAAAATGTATATATATACATATATTATAATAATTTTACATTACTCTCTAAAAACTAAGCCACTTATTCGTTTTATTTTCACTCGTCTACCCTCTTCACCACCCTGATCGATTACGTGTCCTCGCTGCAGATGTGAACACTCCGAACCCTGACAAGAAGTCGATCATGACGTACCTGATGTGCCTGTTCCAATCGTTGCCGCACTCCAGCGAGGACGTCGCCGAAGTGGAGAGCTTGCACTCGGACCACAACACCCCGCTCGCTGATCCCCCCACCGAAGTACGTAACGTGGATGTATATATGGCTGGGGTAACGTCACCGTCACACATTGAACGATAGCATTATCGTCAATTACCGAATTATCATTAAAAAAAGGAGTCTAGTGTTACACAGTTAGAGTTCGTAATCGCAAGAATTACTCGTTAATGCCGGGAAATCTTACTTCCCCTTACTTCAGTAGTTCTTCAGTGAGACGTATGAATATAATTTCATCATTCTTCGTTCGAACGAAGTTTATTTCAATGGTTCTATTCAGAGTTTTTAACGACGTCAATCGACAAGTTTAATCTACTAAAGTATATCATTGTCGTCCATCGGTTCACTGCATCGTGAGGCCGAGGACGGTGGTAGATAGTGGTGGCGTACCGTCTGAGGGTGGTGTGACTGCAGGCGGGGCGCAGCCGGCCGCTGTCGACGGCGACCACCGCGTCGGGCGAGCTGGGCGGCTACGGCAGCGCGCTGGAGGAGGTGCTGGCCTGGCTGCTGGCCGCCGAGGAGGCGCTGGACGCCGCGCCGCCGCCCGCCGCCGCGCTGCCCGACCTCACCCGCCAGTTCCACGACCACGAGGTGACGACGACGCTCTCGTCCGAGCTGCGGCCACCGTTACGCTCGCCGGCGGCCCTCTAACTGTTCCCTCTCATCGGCAGCGGTTCCTGCTGGAGCTGGCGGAGCACCAGACGCGCGTGGGTGGCGTGCTGGAAGAGGGTGCACGGCTGATGAGCGACGGCGGCCTCACGCGGGACGAGGCGGCCGAGGTGCGGCTGCAGATGCGGCTGCTCAACCAGCGCTGGGAGGAGCTGCGTCAGAGAGCCATGCGGCGGCAGACCGACGTGCACGCCGCGCTCATGCAGCAGCAGCAGCGCCATCTGGACGAGTTCCGGTGAGTGCCGCGCCCGGCGGCCGGAGCCTCCTCCGTGGTCTCCGTCGACGGCACTGACGCGCGTGCTCTCCGCAGACAGTGGCTGACGCTCACCGAGGACCGCATCTCGCGCATGGGCCCCGGGCTGGACGCGGTGGCCGCGCTGCACGAGGACCTGGCGCGGCACCAGCCGCTGGTGGACGCGCTGGCCGACTGCGTGGTGGTGGTGGAGGACGAGGCCGCGCCCGACGACCGCGCCGCCGACATCGAGGACCAGCTGCGCGCGCTCGGCGAGCGCTGGGCGCACGTGTGGCGCTGGACCGAGCAGCAGCGCGCCCGGCTCGCGGCCAGGGCGGCGCTCATCGCGCGCCAGCACGACCTGCTGCGCGGCTGCCAGGACCACGAGCAGGCGCTCAAACAGGTACGCCGCGTCCGAGGCGGTCGAGGCGAGGCACCGCTCACCACACACGTCGATGACGCACCGCCCTCGTGCAGATGGAGGCGACCCCGGTGAGCGAGGTGGGCGAGGTGGTGCAGCGCATGGAGCGGCTGCGGGCGGTGTCGCGCGCGCTGTCGCTGCAGCAGGCGGCGGCGGCCGCGCAGGGCGAGCTGGCGCTGCGGCTGGCGCGCGAGGAGCCCGGCGCCGGCGACGAGCTGGCGCCGCTGGCCGCGCGCGCCGAGGCGCTGCACGACCGGCTCGACGCGCTGCGGCTCATCGTCGACGTGCAGGCCTCCCGGGTGCGGCCCCTGCGGTACCCACTCCGCGACGCTCCGTCGCTTCCTTACCGGCGAGTCTCACTAAAATTTAATTTCTCGGAGACAGATAAAAGAGCTCGGGTTCGAGTTCGACATGGACGCGCCGGAGACGCCGACGGCCTCCGCCTCGCCCCCGGCCCCGCCCCCGGCCCCGGCCCCGGCCCCGGCGGCCGACGACGCGCGCTCGTCCAAGAAGATGCGGCTGTCGTCGGACGCGGCGGCCGAGCGTGCAGACTTCCAGCTCGGGTACAAGGTGTTCGAGGCCTGGGCCGACGCCGCCGAAGCTGACTTGGACAAGGTAGGAGGAGTGGCTTATTATCGGATTCGAGGCGAGCATAAATTATAAAAAATTGTAACGTATTCTGATGTGATCGACGCGTTACAGTGCAAAGGAGAATTAGAAGACAAGAGCGACAAGAGGAGGGAGATTCCGTCGACGCTGGAGCGCATCGAGAAGGAAATCGAGGTACAGCGCGCGGACTTCGCGCACGTCGAGGAGATCCAGCGGCGGCTCGCGCGCGGCGGACTGCAGGGTGCGGCTACATATACCTTTATTTCGGTATTTTCATTCATTCATAATCTATAACTAAACGTTTATTGTTGCAGATGAAGCGAAACAACATGCGACCAGTATAAACGAACTAAAGAAGCGATGGGAAAACATTCAAAGAACTCTGCTCGAGATAAGAAATACGATGAACCTTCTAGAAGACAAAGAAAACTTTTATAAAGTTCTAGAAACGTTCCGGAAAGAATTGGACGATATCCGAGCGTGGAAGGATAAGATGTTAACGGATCCGCCCACGAATAATCGGTTGATACATTTGCGGAATAAGATCCGTGCCGTGAAGCAGCTCGAGATGAAACTGAAGGAACTGAATGCACAAACTATAATTTTACTGACTAAATCGCTACCGAAAACGCACAAGGACGAGATCGAAATAGATTCGAAACGAATTAACGAAGTTTACGAGGAACTGTTGACGCAGCTCAGTAACAGGGAGGTTGAGATGAAGCTCGTTCTGAATAAGAAACCCCGAGACCAGGAAGATGAATTTAAAACTCTGCAAGCCAAAATACAGAGCATAGAGAGTGAGATCATAGCGGAGCACGCTATGGTGACGACGCGCGACGAGATGGAGCTCAAACTGGACGAGCTAAGGAAGTTGCGGCTCGAGTTTGATCGGCTGCAGTCCAGCTACGATGCCGTCGTAGAGCAACGACGACAGCACTACGAGAAAGGGAGCTTGCAGGATCTGAATCTGCGCAGCAGTCTCGAGAACTTGGTCACCCGGTTTGGAGACTCCAAAACGTTACTGGAGCAAAAGATAGGGAAACTAGAAAAAGGTCAGTGTGTAATTATGCATCGTAGGTTATATTTAAAGTGGACTGTTGTCTTATGGTTGATTTTGTCGGTAGGCATGGAGATGTTGAAGCGAATACAGGAGGAGAAAGAAGAGCTGTCACGCTGGTTGGATAGCGTACAGCAGTTCGTCAGCCAGCACCAGCTCGTGCCGCTGGGTGAGCTGCCGCGTCTCGAGGAGCTGCTGGATGCCAGTAATGTAAGTCTAGTGACTCTTTCGCCGGCTCTTTTGCAGCATTTACATGGAGTCATGGAACAGTGTGCCATTGTCTTCTATGTTATTAATACACAGCTCTCACTTTATTCACTTTTATAACAAGTTCAATCCAGAGACTTGTCAGATGGCAGGTATTTGGAATCCTCTCTTTTCCGCAATTGTAAATGCGAAATTAATAAAATTCCTATGCCGTTAATTTTACTTTGTTATAGAAATTTGATGGGGAGAAAGACGCTTATAAGTCGAAATTGGAGGCGATAGAAAAACTGAAGGAGACAATACTTGAAGATTGTGACGATAGTGTCTCCAAAACAATACAAGCCGACACCAAAGAGTTAAGGAGACAGTTCGAATCCGTTACGGAAACTTCGTTCAAATTGAACGAGAGTCTCCGTAGAGCTTTGGAGAAGACGGAAAGCGTGTTCCGGAAAATCGGAGAGATCGAAGAGTGGCTACAGGGCATCGAGGAGCAGATTCCGAAGGAAGAGGAATGCAACATCGGCGATTCGGCGGAGCTCTATCAGATGAAAGTGCGCTACCAAACCCTCAAGGACAAGTGCGACGAAAAGACGCCGGAGTTTAGAGATTTGAACGAAGCCAGTGAGTATCTATCGTACTCTATACTCGACATCTTCGTTATCATTATTTCGTGGCAGAAAAACGGGCCCGAGGTGACTCTAAAGCGATCCACTTCTTCAAATGAACCTGGGATTGTTTCCGGCAGGTCACGAGGTGCTGGTGGCGGCGGGCGCGGAGGCGGAGGCGGGGGAGGGGCCGGGGGCGGCGCGGCCCGCCACGCTCGCCCGCCGCGTCACGCAGCTCAACGCGCGCTGGAGCGGCGTCACGCACGCCGTCTACGAGCGCTACAAGTACGTGCCCGGCTGCGTGACGTCACGCAGCTCAACGCGCGCGGGAGCGGCGTCACGCACGCCGTCTACGAGCGCTACAAGTACGTGCCCGGCTGCGTGACGTCACGCAGCTCAACGCGCGCTGGAGCGGCGTCACGCACGCCGTCTACGAGCGCTACAAGTACGTGCCCGGCTGCGTGACGTCACGCAGCTCAACGCGCGCTGGAGCGGCGTCACGCACGCCGTCTACGAGCGCTACAAGTACGTGCCCGGCTGCGTGACGTCACGCAGCTCAACGCGCGCTGGAGCGGCGTCACGCACGCCGTCTACGAGCGCTACAAGTACGTGCCCGGCTGCGTGACGTCACGCAGCTCAACGCGCGCTGGCGCGGCGTCACGCACGCCGTCTACGAGCGCTACAAGTACGTGCCCGGCTGCGTGACGTCACGCAGCTCAACGCGCGCTGGAGCGGCGTCACGCACGCCGTCTACGCAGCCGTCTACGAGCGCTACCTGTCCGTGCCCGGCTGCGTCGTCACGCAGCTCAACGCGCGCTGGAGCGGCGTCACGCACGCCGTCTACGGCGCTACAAGTACGTGCCCGGCTGACTATAGACGCACGCCGTCTAGCCCGGCTGCGTGACGTCACGCAGCTCAACGCGCGCTGGAGCGAGCTGGTCGAAAACTTGTAAGATGCATGCTAGCAAACACTGCGGCTCGGTATTGTCCTCAACTCATTCTCTGAACCGCAGCTTCATAGCACAACTGTCTTAACCGTCTTACAAGTTTTGGACCTGGAGGATGTAGGTGACGGGGCTGGTGCGCAGGGTGCTGGCGGAGGCGTGGCTGGAGTCCGGGGAGCTGCGCGCGTGGCTGACGCAGGAGGCGGCGTGGCTGGACGGGCTGCAGCGCCGCCTGCGACGCTCGCCGCACGCGCCCGCAGACGCGGAGGAGATCGCTGACGAACTATACGTAACTACACCCCCCCACCCCACTTCGTTTTCATTTCTGTCTACCTCTGCTTTTGTTATATAATATCACAAGCTAAAAAAACTTATGTTAAATGCTGAATTACTGCCAAAATTTGATGTGTTAATATTTCACGTAAAAATGAGTAGAAAAGATTTAATGAAATTTTCTTAAAATATATTGTCCTCATTTTTTTTTTAATTTAATAAGAGTTTAGTTATATTTTCGTTTTGCTCGCAATATCATTGAGACTGACAAGTAATACCATTTAAAAATTGTAATAACAAGGTTGCAATAACAAAGTTTCGTGTACAGTTATATAATCCTCGATCGAATTCTATATAAAACGTTAATGTTTTATTTGGATCGGTGTTAGGACTTGGAGAACTACATCCAGAACCACAGCGACGAGCGTCTGTCGCGCATCCAGGACGTGGGCCGTCAGCTGGCCGACGCGCACATCATGCGGGGCTGGGTGCAGGCCGAGGTGGACGCCATCACGACACGCTGGCACCAGCTGCGGGACGAGGTGAGGCACCCGGCCAGCCGTGTACTGCTGTGTGGCGGGGGTTGTTCGTTAACATGTTTACACACATTATTTTACAGGGATCGTACGGTCGGAGGACGAAGTAAAAATGCTCCTTTATTTGCGCACTCAGTAGGACAGTACCGAAAGGATTGCTGTCTCGCTAATGAATGCGGACGCCAGTCTTAGACGCCCGACGGGTGGACTGCAACTGTACATTGCGTACATCTCCTGTTTTTAATATTTCTACATATTATTATTAAGCAAATATAATAATAATATATTTTATTGAGAGCAACAAAAAGTATAGTTAGTTATTTTTCTTATAAACTATTACATTTTTATGAAATATGCAACATACAGAGAATTTACTAGTAGTATTTATACTAGTATCATAGACATTATATATATATATATTGGTTACTTATATATAAATTCTATTTAGAATTACTATTTTTAGGGCAATAAAATACATTATGTTATATATTTTGGTAAGGATAATTTATATTAATTATAGTTATAATTTATTTTCGTGTACACTACTTGTACAGTATGTTATCGTACAGTCGTCAGCATTTTATAAATTTTTTTTATACTACTTAGGTGGTAAACAACCATACGGTTTATCTGATGGTAAACGGTTACCGTAGCCTATGGACCTTTGAAACACCAGGGGTGTCACATACGTGTTGTCGACCCTTAAGAAATCTTAATATACCCTTTTTGAAAAACCTCATGCTGTAGTCTAACTGCTTCGTGTTCATATAATGTGCACACACATCTTTTCTTTTTTAGTACACTAATTATTAACAAGCAAGTATTAGTCCTTACTCAATTATCGTATATTCAATAAATTAAGTTGGAAAGTAGCTCGGACTTATCATTTACTAGTTATTTGTCTCGGCTACGTTTTAGTGTACATATATTATGTATATAAATTTTACTCTTGAATTACTTTATCTATTAAAAAAAAATTGCCTTAAAATCTTTTGCGTAGGTTTAAAAATTTAAGCAATACTAGGGACGGACAGACGGCGACTTCGTTTTATAGTATGTAATGATAAGTCGCTATGATTGATGGATATGTGCGGGTCAGGCGGCGGCGCAGGGCGCGACGCTGGAGCGGGAGGCGCGGTCGGCGGCGCGGTCGGAGGAGTCGCTGGAGGAGGTGGCGCAGTGGCTGGACGCGCTGGAGGCGCTGAGCGCGGGCGAGCTGGGCGCCGCGCGGGCCCGGCTCGCGGCCGAGCTGGCGCCGCACCAGGCCGCCGCCCGCCGCGCCGCGCGCCAGGTGGCCGCGCACGCCGCCGCCGGCCGCCGCGCCGCCGCCGCGCGCCTCGCCGACCGCCTGCGGGCCGCGGGCCGCCGCCTGCGGGCCGCCGCCGCCGCGCTGCGGGCCGCGGGCCGCGCGGCGCCGCGCCTGGCCGCCGCCGCCGCGCGCCTGCGGGCCGTGCGCGACGACCACCACGCCGCCGAGCGCGAGCCCGCGCCAACCGACCCCGACGCGGTCAGACTCCAGCTGCGGCACTGCCTGGTCAGTTACCCTCCTCACTACTTATTAAGTTGTTTAGGCTATTGTCAGATGCTTGTAGCACCTGTAGCACTGCGACCTGCATACATCCATTGTGCTCGCCCTTTTTCAGAGTTCGCTATCTAGACCCGTCAGGGACAAGAATTGAAGAATATTCTTAGAAGCGATGATTTTTATCTCCTCGGGAAAAAGTGTAAACTTTCCAAAAGAAATATTTCGTTTATACGTGAGTGGGCTTCAATTTGACAAAATCTGCAGATTCTTGTCGTGCATAGGCCTAGTTTAACCATATGCTTGTTTAATTTGCAGTGTCCTCTAAAGAAACAATTGTTGAACAAATATAGTGACATCATAAACTTAGACACAATCAGTGCATATCAAAGAAATATATACGATCATTTAATAACTCCATTGGAATAGTTAAAAAATATATTTTTGATTACTATTTTAACACTAAACAGACATACACACATATACACACAATAAGTAACAGATAATAAGAATAATTCATACCACTTTTATTTAAAAAAAAATCCACACGGACGAAATCACGGGAAAAGCTAGTACACAATAAGATTAAATCAGTCGTAGTGATAAGAGCAGACCAGTCGCTACAACGACGAAACGACAATGCCATAACATGTCCTCGCACTATTGTCATAATCGCATCTGACTAGGCTTATGTAAACACAATGACCTCTATTGTGATTACTTCCGGCAATCTGACCCGAATTATTTAGACCTGTATTGATATTCTGTAAGCGTTTGATCAACTCATTTCACTCATCGCTTCACTCGAGGCACTCACTTGTCAAATATAAAGTTCCTATTGTGTTATCGAGTTTGCCTTTATTTCTAAAAAATCGCTAATACCCGTTTTACTTCCACTCTGTTCTCGAGCGTGTGATACTGCAGTTGCTATCGAGTTTTACAGAAAACAAATGTAAAATATGGGACACAGCTACCTAGATACATCAAAATAATAATTGCATTAATAATGTCTAGTAAGACAAACTCAATATTGTGTACTGAGCACTGCCGTGTCTAAACTGTGTCACCCCACCTTACATTTTCATATTGTCATTTAGTATATAAGATCAATATTTTTATGTACATATTGTCAGTCTATTAACATCTCTATTTATTTATTAAAGGAAAACCAAGGCTGACTATACTTAAATAATGTCAATACAAACGTTACTTGTTATTGTCGCGTACAGTAAGCAGCAACAAAACGCAAACAAAGGGAGCGTTCTGATTGGAGCGCACACCCATCCAATTTAAATACGCACCGTAACGTACAGACGTAAAAATTACTCGATCGATATAACGTATATTTGTTCACTCCATAATTTGTAATTAATAGTATATTTAACAATAAATTTAAGATAGTAAGCAAATTCCATCATTTCAACAACCCTGTAATCTGCTGAAGCCATCAACACCTACCATCTATCATTCGAGCCGCAACATCATCTACCATCTGAGCATTGGAGCCGCAACATCATCTACCATCTGAGCATTGGAGCCGCAACATCACGTACCAGTTATTTAAAGAATTGCTCACATATTTGGTGTCTCGCTGATTTAATATTATCAGAAATAGATCTTTAATATACATCGTCTTAACCAACAACATCGTATCACTATCTCGCAACATGCAGTCTCACCGCGGATTCCGCTTTCGAATTCGTAAGTGATGCTTATAGAATAGCTCTACGATGAATTATTAGTCGATCAGTGTAAGATACAACGCCGACAGTCGTTGTCCGTGCGTCGCGATCGTCAACCGTATTACCTTATTATAAAGTACAAATTCACTGGAATCACTCACACACGGTTCTATTAATGTGTCACGTAACAATTTATTTTACTCTTTATTTCATCAATTACAGAACAAATGAAAAAATAGAAAATATTTATTAAATAATACAAAAGGCGGTGTAATCACTATAAAATACTATTTATTTTGTTGCTTTAAACATGTGCTTCCAACAATTACATGCAATTCAAAACTGTAATATATTTAACTAATCAATATGACAATATATATTTGCTCTAAAGTTTTCTACCATATCTATACAATATATATATGTTTTTTAAAATTTAATTTTCACTTTTTGGCGCTAAAATATTTTTACTTTTTATATGCATTTATGCACACTAAGGAACATCCTATACAGCTATATTGGTATTATAAACTCTTAATACAGTCTTACTGATGATTATTTTTATTTATCAATATATAAATCATAGGATATTTAAGTCTACCTTTGGGTGGATAGAGAAATAAAAATAAGAAAAGGGGCACGTAATAAACAAAAATATTTACATATAACTACAAATAACTTAAAATCCATAGCGCTTACAATATTATCTGACTGCATTAAGAATGAGTGCGTAGCGGTTTCCATATTGATTATCGCATGCCTCATGTTTCTTATATATAAATAATTACAGTATAACAACTGTAATTATTTATATAAAAAAACATCTATTCAAAAGAGCAACACACAACAAGTTTCTTGCTCATTCTTGTGATGAATCTGCATTCCGAATGAGTGGTAGAATAAAAATATGACTATTCAAAGTTGCTTGTAATGAGTTTATTTGACTAAAGATTATTTCTATTTCTATTATATCTATTCACATAAAGATATATATATATATATATAATACTAGCTTTTGTCCGCGGCTTCGCTCGCGTTACTTTATACCCTTATGGGTGGAATTAATCAAAATCCTTTCTTAGCGGATGCCTACGTCATAACATCTACCTGCATGCCAAATTTCAGCCCGATCCGTCCAGTGGTTTGGGCTGTGCGTTGATAGATCGCTATGTCAGTCAGTCACCTCTGATATATATCACAATATATGTTTTAATCGGAGCATGTGTAAACTATATCGCGTGCCGCCGCGGCTCTTGAAAGGATTCTGATTGAGGCACGACGCTACGTTTGTAACTACGCACTCAGATGTGGCAAATAGTTCTTCAGATAAGTTGAGAGAGAGACATAATACCTACAGGGTGGAAGTAATAATTACACAGTGGAAGAAAAGTATGTTAAATGAAGAGAACTACTCATTTCACTGAAATTTAACGTCTTGTATTTTTAGAACTTGCGTTTTTTTTATTATGAACGAGCCACTCGCCTCGGCTTCGCACGGGTGTACATGTATTATACATATAAACCTTCCTCTTGAATCACTCTATCTATTAAAAAACCGTTTCAAAATCCGTTGCGTAGTTTTAAAGATTTAAGCATACATAGGGACAGACAGCGACAGCGACTTGTTTTATACTATGTAATGATGGGTTTACACTTGGCCTTACCTTATCTGATGCGTTTAAAAAATTATATAATATATATTTTAGATTTAAAATTTTCGAGAAATCCTTCGAAAAATACTATAGATTTTAAATTGTTTAATTATTTTAAGGGAACCAAGAAATTATTTCTTTTACTAAAATTTATTATAGCAATAATAGACCCGGCCACGCGTTGCTGTGTGCTAAGGTTCTTGAATAAAAAAATATTGCGACTATATATTGAAATGTAAGCTATCCTATCTTTCAAGTTGGATCAAATTGCACACAATGTGCAAATCAAATTTGCAATTGGTACATTAGTTAAGAGTCCATCGCGGACAAACAACGTGACACGTAATTTTTATATATAAAGATTTTATGTTCGTTTTGTTCAGACTAGTTCTGTATTACAACTCTATGTAGTAGTTGGTATTTGGTTCGATTATAGTAAATGTGGTATGAAAGTTAAATAATTATATTACGCATATTTGTACAGTTGTGCAGTTTGTACATAAATTAACTACCGCATAGTTCGCACTTGGCTCGCGGTCTACTGTAGTTCGTGCTGTGATTCCAGTTGTGGTTGTGATTCCAGTTACCTTCTCGACCGAACCTTGGACTGTTCATATGACTTGTGTATAAAAAGCGTAGATACGTAGAAATGAATTGGGATACGTTGTACCTGATTCTAGTTCTCAGCTTAGCACTGTACAAGTGGTTTGTAAGTATCATTTTTGTTAATTGTAAATGTTGTTTCTTCTTTTGTTATGAATGTATTTATTACTCGACTTCGCGTGGTATTTTATTTTATTTTTCTAAAATAAAAGTAGCCTAAGTTACTCCTTATTACATCAGCTACCTGCCAATAAAAGTCCCGTCAAATTAGGTCCAGCCATTTCAGAGATTAGCTGGAACAAACAGACAGACAGACAAAAATGGTAAAACATGTTTTTTTGGTGTATGTACCGTATTTATATTCGTTTGCATGTAGTAAAAAACGGTTATTTCAATATTACAAACAGATATTCCAATTTTATTTATATGTATAGATAAGTTGCTGTTAGTATTGATAGTCGTGTGATATGATGTTTACCTTAAGATGTTAAAAAAATACTTAAAACCGATCCATCGTTAACTGGCTACGAGTTGAGAGCTGGAAGTCTGTAGCATGCATGGTTACTGGTACGCATGTATGTCTTAATCGTTTAGCGAATGACTGAGTATCGGGTTCCTCGTTCACAAATCCCTTGAGTAGTATCAAGGCCGAGAGCATGTCGACTGGAGGAGCGTCCCTGATACTCAGAATTACCAAACGGTATTCGTTGAAGGTCATCCAAGTGTACGCTCCAACTTCGACGCATTCCGACGATGAGGCTATGTATGAGGATATCTCCAGAGCCATACGTAGTACATTTTTACGTTACCATAAGGAACTTTAACTTAAAATTGGACAAACGAGGTGGTTATGAGCTGAGAGTGGCGCAATTTGGTATCGGTGACTGGAGCTTCCGAGGTCAAATGCTGGCCGATGGAGAGGGAGAGCGTCTTTATGAGGAACTCCTTCAGGTAGCCGGAACACCGAAAATGGACGTGGATTAGTCCCATAGGTGCCTCAAAAAACAGGATAGATTTCATCTTGTCGACGAGAAGACAGATTTTCAATGATGTCTCTGTGATCACTGTCGTCAAAATTAGAAGCGATCACCAGATGGAATGAGACACACTAAGTCTGAATCCAAAACTCGAACGATTCCCACTTATGAAATCTACGCTCCATTCTGCAACAGATCCAAAACCCCGAAAGCTTCCAGCTAGAATTGCAAAACCGCTTCGAATGTCTTGTCGATTGCATATTGCATGATTGTTTGGGAAACTACTCTGGTACCAAAATGTTAGGGAAAACGGTAGGTCACGTACCTATATGGTTCTGCGGATTTCTTGGGCTTCAGGGTCTCGAAGATATCTTCGCTAGCTTTCCAGTTTCACAGCAGGCCTCACAGTAGGTTTAACACAGTTTCACAGTTCTAATTTATTTTAATTCACAACACAATGCGCGCGCGCGTCAAGGCCGCTGTATGGTCCGTTTGTTACTAGTTAGGGAGGGGAAGGGAACGCGCGGGAACAGAAAACAAACGGACTCTAATATAATATAATATCTGTGCTTACGATGATATAGGGTAGATTTTGAACAGACGTGGATGATTATATTACACGTATTACTTTGGAAGACTGGACTGGCGGCATTAACATCGGTGGTTACAAAATTACGATCCGGCGTTACGCTGATGACACAACCTTATTTGCAACTAGTGCCGAACAATTAGAAATATTGCTTCAGAAAATAGAGCGAGTGAGCAATGAGTTTGGTTTGAAAATAAATCGTAAAAAGACGAACATTATGATTGTGGATCGCCCTAATAACAATTCACCTGAAATTACTCAATTGGCGAATTGCGAAGTGGTCCCATCCTACATTTACCTGGGGTTATTGGTCTCAAATGGAGGGGGCTGCATGGAGGATGTTAAGAGACGTATGGGCATGGTGCGAAACGCTACGGATAAAGCTAGAAAAAATCTGAAAAATATCAAATTCTACATTTAAACTGAAGGATGAATAGTGAAGTATGGTACTGCAGTCTCCGAACGACGTTTTCCAGTATTGGCAACTTAGCAGGCAAATCTTTGAATCCTTGACTTATGACTTACGCCACTTTAACATATTTTGTAAGGAAGGTTATTGAGAAAAACAAGGGTTCAAAAGTCTTTAACAGGAATTTGATGGATTTTATCTTTTCGTCCAAATTACTGTAGTTTCTCAAGACGTAGGTTTGCGATCAATGTGTGTTGCTAGTGAAGACTTATGCCTCAGAGACGTGGTTGTTAACTATGACCTCATAAATGAGCTTGAGAGTCATTTATAGGGCTATGTTTGGAGTTTCTCTGCGTGATAGTGAGGAGATTTGTTGAAGAACCAGAGTGACCGATATAGCCTGGAGAATTGCGAAACTGAAGTGGCATAGGTCAGGGCACATAGTTTGTTGGACAAATGGCCGTTGAGGCAGTAAAGTTCTCGAGTGGCGATCGCGAAATGGAAGATGCAGCGTGGGAAGACCTCCTAAAAGGTGGACCAAGTGGTCAAGATTGCTGTAAAGCGTTAATGCGAGCAGCGATGGAGGTCTTTGTTCACCAGCTGGTTGAAATGATGATGATGGAAATAATAAAAAAAAACTTTTCGTTAATTGTTCGTGTATGCCGTGACACGTCAGAGATAGGATGTATACTGTGTTTTTGGTGTCGTGATTAGGGTGGTTATTGGTCATATGGGAAGGTATTATATTTTTTAGTCAGATAAAACAATGTTCTTCATTCAAGGAAGATATGAATATTAATGGAATCTCCTTCGCGTTCACAGAAATGTTATCGAACGCTGAGCGACATGAAGGCGGAGGTGGAGGAGACGATCCGCGAGGGGCGGCGCGCGGCCGAGGAGGCGAGCGAGGCGGCCGAGGGGGGCGAGGGGGGCGAGGGCGGCGAGGGCGGCGAGGGGGGCGAGGCGGCCGAGCTGACGGCGCGCGTGGACGCGCTCAAGGAGCTCTACAACCGGCTCGGGGCCGCCGTCACCGCGCGCAAGCAGCGCCTCGAGGCCGCGCTGGCCGCCGCGCGGGACCTGCAGGCCGCGCTGGCCGCGCTGCGGGCCGGGCTCGCCGCCGCCCCCGCCGCGCCCCCCGCCGCCCGCGCCCTGCACCTCTCGCGGCTCGCGGCCGTGCGCGCCCGCCTCAACGCCGCGCACCACGCGCTCGCGCCCGCCGACCCCGCCCTGCGCGCGACCGTGGCCGAGCTCAACGCGCACTGGGACCGCCTGCGACGCCCGCCCCAGGTACGTGTCGCCCCCCGAATCGGAATGAGTTTTCATTACACCCTGTATAAATAAAAATTTTATTTATTACTTGTTAATACCATTCTGCCGAAATACAGAAACGGTGCAAAATAGAAGAATCAAGCTTAAATTAAACTATTACATTTATTCATATAAACCATTTTAACCATGTATATACTCATATTATATATCTTCATTGGTATGTCTTCTAATATATTTACAAAACAGGTGCCTGGTCAATATATGCTTTGTAATTGGCAAACTTTCATTTTTTATATTAATATAACTTTGTTTTGGTTCGTGCTTTCATATACTTATCAAATCAGAATAAAACTTGACATTTTCATAACTCTACAGTGTAAAATATTGTATATATTAATAACAAAATGGAGTACATTTGGTAACGGTTACGACGGCTGTCATTGCAATTGAACGGAACAGCTGCGGTAGGTGCAACATGTTCGATACGTCGGTACGTTGCTCGAGTCGCAGAACCGCACCGCGCTTGCGTGCGAAGTGTGCAATTTTTTTTTAGTTGAAGCCAACTAATTATGAACCTAAACTATAGCAAATAGCAACACCAACTTATAGATTACAACTTTTTTCTTCTTGAGGCAAAATTAACAAATAATAAAATGTAATAAGTTGAAACAAAGATTTGTGAAAAAATATCCCTTGGATAGTCGCGACTAGTATTGTATGTCTTAGTACACACTGTGTATCTCATTGTAGACGTCTCAAAACTCATACTTGTATATTGTGTACATAGCTTTATTTGTTTTAATCACTACCACTATACAAATGCACGTAGTCGCTTGGCGCGGTCCGGACGTTCGCGGAAGAGAACGAACGAGTGCTGCGTACGTGTGTGGATGTGAACCATGAACTACTAACTACACGTACTAAAGTGTTTGGAGGGTGTACAAACATACTGTGACACAAAAACCAGAACATTACTACACACGAACGCGTCTACGGGTACTCGATCACACACGAACATGTTCATCTCGACGTGAATGTAAATATACTAAATGTAAATAAGAGCTCCCGGTGTCGGTTCACTCACGTGTGGTGTGAAGATCGCTTGTCTCACAACATTAAACCATCTCACTCCGGCGCAGACGCGTCGGGTTTTCGACGGACTCACATCGCCCGGGAATCATGCTTACTCACGTTTGTCATCGACACGGTGCTACGGGTGCTTTGGGATTCACTTACCATCCGGGGAGTGGTGCAGCCGACCACGCGAGCCCAGCGGGGGCACTAACAACATACACGGTAGAGGCGGCGCGTCGGTACTAACCGCAAGTGGCTGACCGGTTTGTGATTGCAGGCCGACGACTCCGCCGACCCCGTCGACCCCGGAGACGCCGGTGACCCCGGTGACCTTGGTGACGCCGGTGACGTCGCCGAGTACGAGAAGGTCACGGATACCATCAAGAGGCGGCTCGAGAGCCCCGTCGACTCGACCGAGACGGACAAGCCTGAGTTCAAGAAGTCTAAAATACCGCTCGCGCTGAACAGCCCCGTGCCCATCCGGCGGGCCGTACAGGCGGCCGGCAGCGGCGCTCGCAGCTCGTCGCTGGAGCGCGCCCCCCGCCCCCCGCCGGCGCGGTCGCCCGCCTCGCCCGCCGCGCATCAGCACAGCAGTACATTCAATCTCCTCACCGACAGCGAACTCTTTACACAAATATCCAAGAATAAGGAGGAAGCCACCCAGAAGCCGCGGTCTGCGGATGGAGCGTCCGCAGATCGCGAGCCCGGCCCGGAGTCCTATCGGAAGGTCGAGGTGAAGGCCCACGAGATAGTGAAGGCGACGGTCGGGCCCGTGGAGCCGGTGACGACGCACCCGGACCCCGTCGAAACCGTGATAGAGTTCATCCCGCAGACCGTGGAGACCGTCGAGATCGTAGACGACACCGAGACCGAGTCGGCGGACGGGGACACCGGCCACCACAGCGGCCACCACACGGGCGGCGGGCTGGGAGCGGGGCCCACCACGTTCGTGGTGGAGGTGACGCGCGCCGAGCGCCGCATGCGGCCCACGCTCGGGATCCTGACGCACGGCCGCGGCGCGCGCGGACCGATGACAGTGACCATCGAGGCGCCCGACGTGATCCCCACCACGGGCCGCGTGGCGCCGACCACGCCGCCCGCCACGCCGCCCGCCACGCCCCCCGCCACGCCCCCCACCACCCCCGCGGAGGGCCCGTGCGCGCCGCCGTACGCGATGTGGGCCGTGCAGAGGTCGGTGCACCGGCGGCTGTGCGGGCGGGAAGTCGACGAGTACCTCATCCTGGACGACGTGCCCAAGGACCGCGCCGCGCTGCCGGAGCCTTCTCTCACGGGAGAAACTTTCGAAACTAGTACTGAAGTACCGAGTAAAGCGCACTATCGACCGATAGATCTCGCGAAGCGGTCGATTCGGCTGCCAGTGATACCTCAGGAATCTGACGTCTCGGCGCGTACTGACGAAGTAGACGAGAAGTCCACCACTGACGAAGAAATAATATATTCGGAAGTCGAAGATACATCTCAGGTAATAATTGTGAGATGTACTAGTAGATTTACGTGGATTTTCATTTATCTAAAATAACTAACCGACGGACAAAAGTTCTGAAAAAACGGTCCCCGTCGGCGACTCCTCGTTTGAGCGAGCGTGTGTGTTTTCAATTTCTAAATTTATTTTTGTAACGTTAACCCTTAGAGCGATGTCTATTCATATTAGTATATTTTTATTATTGTCGATGGTCATTCGAGATACTGAAAAATATTGATATTCTTGATTATTTTAATAAATGATTAAATAAATTATTTATCTCCATGTAAGAGATATATAATGCATTTTCTATAACAATATGATCGTCTAATTCTTCAAATTGTTATCTTCCGTATCTTGAATCCAAGTCGACTGTTATTTGATTACATGTGTACCTTTTTAGGAGATCGGCTGCTTCTTTCCTTAAACGTAAGTGAGTTTGAATTTGCGGCAAACAATTCGGATGAGTCCTAATTGACTGTAGACCTATCCAAATTTTGCAGTTTATAATATTTAGTGCGTAAGTACCGTGGCTATATAGGGCATGTGGTGCGGCGGCATGACCGTAGTGGCTGTTATAGGTAAACGCGGACGACGGCGAGCCTGGCGTCAGTGACCAGCCTGAACGTGGCGAGCGTGAGGAACGCGAGGAACGCGAGGAACGTGAGGAGCGTGAGGAGCGTGACGAGCGTGAGGAGCGCGAGGAATCCGCCGAGAGTGAGGAGCGCGGCTCGCCGCTGTGGACGTCGACGCCGGTGAAGGCCGCGCACGTGGTGGCCATGTCGCCCAAGCTGCCTGCGCGGGACCCCCACCACCTGCTCAATGTAATTCATTCAATTTTAATGCATACCACGCACTATTACAACTCAATATTGCTTGCTTGATGGCCTCGGCAGTTTAGCGGTTTAGCACACTGCATTATTTCCGAGTCGCAGTTACGATTTCTATCGTGTTGAGTTTTCTATGTATATAATAAAATCTATGTATTTATAACAGTTATCCAGTACCCATAACACAAATTCTGCTTGGCGTGGTATACTGGAAAAAGATTGTGGTAGACTATTTCCGCGTATATGTATTTCTGTTATGTAATCACGTGTGTGAGGATAACGAGTTGTCGGTCGCAGGGCACGTCCGGTGCGGCGGCGGAGGGTGCGCAGGGTGAGGACGACGAGGCGGCGGTGCAGGAGTTCAGCGCGGCGGCGGAGCTGATGGTGCGGCGCATGGACGTGGTGCTGCTGACCCTGGCCGGCGTGGACAGCGAGCGGGACCCCGCCAAGCGGCTAGAGGTACGCTCGCAGGGACCCCGGGCCCCGCTCGATTGGGTTTTGATGATATTATAGAGTATTGTTATAGTGGTAGCGGTGGCTGTACGAGTGCGAGGCCGATGTCGATCTGTATGCGTATTGTGCAGATCCTGAAGAACCAGCTGGGCGCGCTGGCGCCGGACGCGGCGGCGCTGATCTCTCGCGGAGACTCCCTCGAGTACTCGCAGCACGCCACGCACCCGCACCACGCACGCACCACGCACGCGCACCAGGTACGGACACGTACGCTTACGCAGTTCCCCCCGGAATTAATACCCGGTACAATTAGTTTCACCTCGAAACCCAACTTTCAGCCCTCTAAGGCGATGCAGAAGACTTGTCTCTGTCTGTCGATTTTATTATACGATTGTTTCAGGATAAATTGCGGAAAAAGTGGTCTATGATCATGACAGAGGTAGAGATTAAGCGTAACCAAGCCCTACAGGCGGAGGACGACGTCAAGGAGCTGACGACGTTGGTGGAAAGTCTGCAAAAATGGCTGAAAGAGATCGAGGACTTAAATGAGGCGCAAGCAATGGAGATGCTCTTGGAACAATTCCCGGACCACGAGGACGACGCCGAGCGTCTGCAAGAGGTATAGTATAGTAATATAGTATTTACAATAGTTAAAAATATGAGATGGCGCTATACATTGTTGAATAATATGAAAATAAAATTTATTGTTACTGTTAAACATACACGCACAACTCGTCCGTTCCGTTCACCGGTTGCTTGTATAGCGTCTTTTTTGTCCGAGTCACTGTTCATAGGCCACCGTTTGGTGCCCCACTACTTTCGAAAAACATAAGACTATAATTGACGATATACAGGCTGTCCCAGAACTTAACGTCAAGCCGAAACGGGGTGACAGGATTGATTGTAAGTATCATGAGAAAAATCTGAAAAAATATCTATCGCGTGTAGTTTGAAAATTATTTATGTAAGAAAAACCTAGAAATTTGGTCAAACTAACCATTTTTCGGTTATTGTGGTTAATTTTTATTGTTTTTGTAATTTTGTAATAAATCTAAACTAAAGTAGGTCAATATTTTTCATTATTTTATTAATTTTACTTACTTTTGTTGACATTGGTAAAAGAGGCGTCACTATCTGTCTCGCTCTCTCAGTGAAAACATGTCCACTAACCATCTCTCTCATCATACTTTACTTATTATTTTCAAACTGCAAGGGGAGAGATTTTTTCTCATGATGATAACCGAAAAAGCTCGACGTCGAGTTCTGGGACACGCTGTACAGTTGTCGTGGTGATCGTGTCGGTAGTTGTGCGGGCGGCTGCGCGCGCGGCACGTGTCGCACGCGGAGCGGGCGGCCGCGGACGTGGCCGCCGCCTGGCGCCGCGCCGACCGCCTCCACCGCCGCGCGCTGCGGCCACCACACTCGGTCAGTCACATAGCTTTTTACCCTCTTCCACTTTCCGATCTCTGATCGTCTGTAAATTAATTCTAACGTGTTCGATCCCCTTTTTTTCAACTTTTGTGTTTAATATACATTATTTATATTAGTAACAAAGAAAAAGTTCGTGTTAAGATCCGGTTAATAATATAAATAAGTTTTCTATCCTACTATTATTTCAAAGTTTATCTAGTCTGGTCTATAGTGCGCAAGTTTAAACAAATATCAGTATGTACCGTAGTAATGTAGGTGTGCGTATGCGCAGGAGGCGGCGTCGCTGGCGCGGCTGGCGGACGCACGTGGTCGGGTGAGGGCCGCGCACAGAGCAATGCGGGCCGCGCGCGACACAGACACAGACAAGGTACGGCACTACTCTGTGACACCCTTATTTCTGTTCCATTGGAATGTCAAGCAAGCCGACAACATGCACATGCTCGATGTTGAGCGATAACTGTCACTTATAGCACTGGCGTCGCATTGTCATTCCGGAGAACTGACATGTTAGAATTGTAATTCTTATTTGTAATTTGTATAACTACTATGCCTAACTTTGTTAACTACTTTAGACACTCAATTTAAAGTATCGAGTAATTTAGTTGTCGGTTTGTATCGAGTCCCGACCCAAGTACGTACATTTGCGGCAACTTTACCAAACTGGAGTGCGACGACAGTAAAGCATGATGGTGATGTCCAGGAGGTGGAGGCGGCGCTGAGTGAGGCGCGAGCACAGCTGGCGGCGACGGACGGCGAGCAGCACGTGGCCGTGCAGCGAGCACGTGGTCGCCTGCGGGACGCCGCCGCCGCACTCGCCGCGCAACGATCACACACTGACAGGTGAGTGGTGAGCGGTTGGTGCATATATACATGTGACAAACCAAATGTTCCGTACAGACTACTACAGTATACGAACAGAACACTTATAATCCGTTCGGTACACAGTGAGCGGACGGACAACGAGCAAGATGAGAAGGTAGAGAAGGAGAAGACGGAGGAGGAGAGCGCGGCGGCGGCGTGGAGGGAGAGCGCCCTCAGTCAGCTGCGGGAGGCGCGCGCGCTGCTGCTGGCCGCCGCCGCCAACGGCTCCGACCGCTCCAGCCTCGCCATCCGCCTCACCCTCGTGCAGGTACCGCCCCCCGCCCCCGCCCCACACTGCTGCTGGCCGCCGCCGCCAACGGCTCCGACCGCTCCAGCCTCGCCATCCGCCTCACCCTCGTGCAGGTACCGCCCCCCGCCCCCGCCCCACACTGCTGCTGGCCGCCGCCGCCAACGGCTCCGACCGCTCCAGCCTCGCCATCCGCCTCACCCTCGTGCAGGTACCGCCCCCCGCCCCCGCCCCACACTGCTGCGGGCCGCCGCCGCCAACGGCTCCGACCGCTCCAGCCTCGCCATCCGCCTCACACTCGTGCAGGTACCGCCCCCCGCCCCCGCCCCCGCCCCCGCCCCACACTGCTGCGGGCCGCCGCCGCCAACGGCTCCGACCGCTCCAGCCTCGCCATCCGCCTCACCCTCGTGCAGGTACCGCCCCCCGCCCCCGCCCCCGCCCCACACTGCTGCTGGCCGCCGCCGCCAACGGCTCCGACCGCTCCAGCCTCGCCATCCGCCTCACCCTCGTGCAGGTACCGCCCCCCGCCCCCGCCCCACACTGCTGCTGGCCGCCGCCGCCAACGGCTCCGACCGCTCCAGCCTCGCCATCCGCCTCACCCTCGTGCAGGTACCGCCCCCCGCCCCCGCCCCACACTGCTGCTGGCCGCCGCCGCCAACGGCTCCGACCGCTCCAGCCTCGCCATCCGCCTCACCCTCGTGCAGGTACCGCCGTGTACAGTTGACAGTTGGCAGTTGGCAGTTTGTACGGTGGTCGCTTTCCAATTTGTTGCTTGCTGAGTTTACCGTTGGTCGTGTGATCCTCTGTGAGACTCCGGTTCGCCGTCGAGTCTCCAGAGTGAGCCCCGCAACTGGTGCCCACTTGCGCAAATTGTTGAGAGCGATACAGTGCGTAATCCAGCTACACAAAGTGTACTTTGTCTAGCGAGAGAACGCGCTAGGATTGTAGACCGAATTTGTTGACGCAAATTCGTTGCTGCAATCCACTTGCGACTGTCTTACAGTGCGATCACCTGCCCTTTCAGGGCGGAATTCCCTACCTTTCGGTAGGTTCGTCGTGGGGTTCCAGCCCCCACACCACCCTCTTCCACCCCTCCAGTCCCCTTTCCTAGTACATCACCCGTTCGTGTCGTGATGTCGCAAAGGGGCAAAGCCCCCAGGAAACCTCCTGACAGGGGAGCTCCCCGAACTGTTGTGCGTCGGGATCTGAGGAACCCGACCAAGCTGGTCCCCGCCACTGAGCTGGGGACCTTCCACGCTCGCCCGGCATCCAAGGGCACCCCCTCTGCCCTCGCGGGAAGCGGCAATGATGCCGCCGACCGGGAACCAGGCAGAGGGGAAAGATGCGCGCAACCTGGCCCATCTAAAAGACGCGCACCGCTGTCGCCGACCTCGCCCGCTAGAGGCGACAAACGGAGGGACGTAGAGGAGTCCCCCCCCGCGACCTTGACCTAGTGAAGGTGCCGCCGACGCCGAGAATCCGGCTTGTGGACAAGGGCTACCAACCCCTACCGTCCCAGTCGGGTACCGTGCGGCGAAAGCCCTCACCCCCTCCGCGCTCACCCTCCCCCCCGCCGGATAGCGGGAGCGAGGAGGAAGGGGAAGACAGGCGTTTTTACGGCGACGTACATGCGTCGCCTGCGACCTCGCCTGAGCCTTCGCCAGCACCCTCGCGTGTGCCCTCGCCGCCACCTCGCTCCTATACGCTAGATAGGGGCGAGTATGATGCCACGTCATATGCGGCACTTGAATCGGTGCCACAATCGCCCGAGCCGATGCTCCCCCCCGTCCCCTCGCCGCGACGACGAACCCCGCCGTCCTTTGCGGCAGTAGTGGCAGGCCCCGCCACCCCAACCCCCGCCACCACGGCTCCAGCCCCGCAAATGCCCTCACAGGGTAAGGTCGCCGATACGGGCGTAGAACCCGCCACAGGGCGAGGCAAATACCCCCCCATAGTGGTAGAACGCCTCCCTAACTGGACGCGCCACTTCGACCAGCTCAGGCGCGTACTGGGGGAGGCACCCAACGCAAGACCCTACGGCACTGGGGTTAGATTCCTGCCTAGGACGGACGAAGAATTCCGTGCCGTCCAAAGGTATTTGATAGAGGCCAGCGAAAAGGACCCAACAATAAGTTGGTACTTTTATAGTCTGGCCTCCGAACTGCCCACCAAGGTGACGATACGGGGCCTCCCCGCCGACACCCCCAATGAGAGGATAGTGGAGGCACTGCAGGAGAAGGGGTTCGGAGTGCGGCTAGTGCGGGGCATACCCGCGCGTCGCGGCCGCCCCGGCTGCATTTTCCACGCCCAACTCGACCCCATGGACAGGGACGAGCTCACACGCTTGTACGCGACTGACGAGCTCCTGTACATGCGGGGCGTCGTGGTTGAGGCGTGGAAGCCGGCATCGGTGCTGCCACAATGCCACAGATGCCAGGCATTCGGCCATGCATCGGCCAATTGTCACCGGCCTGTAAAATGCGTTCGCTGTGGTGGGGAGCACCCGGCGGCGAATTGCGACAGGCCGCGTGACCAAAAGCCGACATGTGCCAATTGCGCAAAACCTCACACCGCCAACGACCGGAAGTGCCCGGTGTATAAAAGAGAGGCCCGGCAGAGGGGAATCAAACCCCGTCCCCCCGTCCCCCCGTCCCCACTGCGTCGTCGACGGCGCCCAAGGCGCAGCAACGGCGGCGCAATAATCCCACCGCGGCGCCTCGTACATACGTCGCCCAGGCTCCCCCTCCCGTAATAATGCTAACGCCTGGAAACCGCTGGCGCCAACCTAATGGCGCCGGCTAACGAACCGACGCAACGAGGCGCCGACGCAGGTGCAATTAAAAAGTGCCGCCGCCGAAGACGCGGCAAGAAGAGGCGCGGAGATGAGCCCGTGACGGCATCAACCCCAATCCCCTTCCTACCTGATCCCACCCCAATATTTGCGTACAACGCACCCCCCTCCCTTCCCATGCATGCCGTCCCAAATCAGGGCCCGCGTGCAGCGCCACGTCGCCGCCAGGCGGCGCCACCGGCACACAATGTGCCGAGAGTGGCTTTCAAGCCGCTTTTGGCGGACGTAAGACGCGCACCTCCCGCGCCTCCCACATACACCGCACACCCCGCGCCGCGTTCGGCACACGCCGCGCCCGCGCCCTTCACACAAGCGCCCGTCGACAGAGCACTGAACATGCTTATTAGCCTGTTGACGGAGCTGCTTACTACGCTCGCGGCCGGCGCGGATACAAAATCGGCGGCATTAAACGGATTGGCCAAAATCCAACAGTACACAAATGGCGGGTACTAGCCTGCGAATTGTGTACTGGAATCCCGGGGGAATAAAAGATAAAGTTCAGGACCTCCGTCTCCTAGCTCGCACCCAGGATGTGCACATCATACTCCTGGGTGAAACGAAGCTCACAGAAAAGGAGACGTTGAGGGTGCCTAACTACCACGTGTATAGACGCGACGAAACGTCACCGGCGGGCATTGCGTACCGCGGTACGGCGGTACTAGTCCGTCGTGACGTAGTCCACGTGGAGTTAGAGCGCCCCGAGTTCCGCGTCATGCGCTCCATAGGAGTCAGCATCAACGTCGACGGCGCGGAACTGAAGGTCCTGGCAGCTTACCGTCCCCCGGGACTGGAATTCAGCCCCTCCGATGTCCGGAACGTTCTGGATGGGAGGAGTCCCACCCTGCTTATGGGCGACCTAAACGCGAAGCACACGGCTTGGGGATCCCGTCTGTGCTCGCCGATAGGTCGAAGACTCCTCCAGGATTCGCAGATCCACGGGTACGAGGTGTTGGGCCCAGCGCACCCAACACACGTACCCTCAAATCCCACACATAGCCCAGACGTTCTGGACATTGCCCTAGTGCAGGCTGTGCCTTGCCCGGTCTTACTGGAGGTGCTGTATGACCTTGACACACAGCACCTCCCAGTTCTAGCCACGCTTGACCTCTCCATCACCACCACACCGACGAGACCGTCGAGGCGGCGGATGGATTGGCGAGTTTTTCGCGCAGAATTGGAGCATCTACACCTCGACGGCGAACTATCTTCGCCAGAGGGTATCGAAGCCGCCTCTACACTCCTAACGGAGCGAATTCGCACCGCCGTGGAGGCGGCAACTACCACCATAAACGTGGCTTCTCGCCGTCGAGAGGAATTGCCACACCATCTGCGCGAAAAACTCGCCCGGAAAAAGAATCTCCGTCGCCTATGGGCCCGAACCCGTTGCCCGCGGGTCAAGCGGGAGCTCAACTGCTTGGCTGCAGAGCTGTCGGAGGGAGTGCGGGATTGGCGTGGAGCCGCCTGGGATGGTGTCATATCCCGGGCTGGCGAACACGATACCGACCTGCACAAACTCAATCGACAGCTCACCAATGCACGACCCCCGTCTGCCCGTTGCTTGACGAGACGGGCAGACGTCGTTACGCAGCCCAAGACCGGGCAGAAATCCTGGCACAGCACTTGGAGGGGCAATTCACGGCCAATCCAATCGCCGCCGACGCACCCAGCACTGTCGTCGAGCACCACGAGCGAGTCGTACGTCGCGTATGCGATTTCCGTACCGCTCCGTCGCCGGACGTAAACGAAGTGAGCTTCGTTTCGCCCGGCGAGGTAAGGCGGCTCGTCAGCCGCCTGCCGAAGCGCAAAGCGCCCGGAGCGGACGGGATCAGCACCGCAGCGCTCGCACAGCTGCCCCGTAGAGCCCTAGCGTGTTTATCTAGGCTCTACAACGGTATACTCCCGGCCACTTCCCTACCAACTGGAAGTTGGGTAGAGTCATAGTCCCCGAAACCCGGCAAGGACAAGCCCTGCCGGCAAGCTACCGGCCCATCACTCTGCTCTCGCACGTAGCAAAGTCGTTCGAGCCCTCCTGCTCCGCCGCCTGAGACCGACTCTGTCGCCTCGCGACGAGCAGTTCGGTTTCAGAGGCGGACACTCGACGACTTTGCAGCTGACGCGCGTGCTCCACCATATGGCTGTCGAGCACAACCGCGGCCACTACACGGTCGGCGTATTTCTCGATATAGAGAAGGCGTTCGACCGTGTGTGGCACGACGGTTTGGTGTCAAAGCTGCTCGACACCAACACGCCGTCAGCATACGTGCGAGTAGTGGACTCGTTCCTCTCGGGCCGGAGCTTCCGGTCGAGAACTGCCTCTACCACACGCCCCGCCGGAGTCCCGCAGGGCAGCTGCATTTCGCCAGCGCTCTACGCGACGTACACAGACGACATCCCCACCTTGAGGGATGAGCTCCGAGAGGAGAGAGGGATGTCGTCCTCGCTCTTTTCGCCGACGACAGTGCCTTCCTTACGTCGTCTCGCCGATCGCAGCCGCTCGCAAAATGCAGCGGCTGTTGGACGTGGCTGGATAAGTGGCGTACCACCGTTAACGTGGGTAAAACGGTGGCGCTGCTTACCCGCCCGGGGTGCAAATGCCCGCCGCCCCTCTTACTTAGAGGCCAGCCCATACAGTGGGAACGCACAGTGCGTTACCTAGGGGTAGAAATCGACCGGTCGCTGCGTATGAAGCCGCAGGTGGACCGGGTTGTCACCCAAGCCAAGGCCGCGCGCGCTATGCTGCGACCGGTCTTACAATCCAGGCCAGCTGCGGACGAAAGTAGGCATTTATAAGACCATTCGTTCGCGGCTCACCCTCGGTACGCACTGTGCTCGGCCTCACAGCGGCGGAGACTGCAGGTCCAACAGAACGCCGCCCTCCGTCTGTGCACAAATGCCGGACGGTACGTCCGTAATGACGTGATCGCCCGCGACCTCAAGGTCCCATCGGTGGAGCAGTTCGTCGTCCGGTTGACGCGCGCGATGTTCTCGCGCGCGGACAGCGGGCGCGAAGCGCACCTGCGCGACCTCGCCCCCCTCCACGCGCGCCCACCGGACGCCACTCGCGCGCTCCCGCGCGACCTACTCTCCACCGAGTGATCACGTCATTCACGTGACGTGGCGGCGTTAAGCCGGCTCGGCGAGCGACATAATGATTCCTGCCACACAACGCCCACAGGCGGCTGCTGAGAAGCAGCCGCCCTCCGGCCGGCCGGCAGGTCGGCCGGTAAAAGAACGACGCTGGGGTGGTTCACCCCAGCAGAATGCCCGGGCAAGGAGCGCAAGCTCGGGGCCCGTACCCAGCGGTCCAGTTAGGACCAGCGGACGACCCAATAATAAATAGTTTGTACGGTGACGCACCGTACACTGCCAAAAAAAGTTCTGTCAAAATTGGTGCAGCCTTATCAGAGATTAACCGAAACAGACAGACAAACAAACGTAAAAAAATTGTAAAAAAATATTATTTTAGTGTATGTAGCATATTTATATTCATATGCATGCAGTAAAAAACTGTTATTTCAATATTACAAACAGACACTCCAATTTTATTAATATGTATAGATGTATAGATATACAAATCGTAGGATATATAACAATGATCTATATTAGATACACAATACATATGCAGGGCTACTATAAATCAGAATAACACTGCAGTAATAGTCTGTTCAAACGCGAGTTCGGTGCAAGCCGCTGGCGACTATCCAGCTATATCCAGTCCCATAAATTTCAACTTTATTCCACCCAACTAAATCCCAATTTCGATTGTCACTCCTTTTCGTTTCCAGTTATCTCCAGACATGTGCAGTTTGCGTTTTAAATTTGCTACCTTAAACTGTTGGAATAGAGTTGAAAATGCCGGTACGGTCGCGTGGTTGTCGTGTTTGTTGTGCGTAATTGGGGTTTCGTTTCGCTTCCTACTTGAAATGCGTTTGATATGAAGACGTGTTTGTTTGCTGAAAACTAACAGTTTATTATCCACTTATTTTACTTTTAATCGCCTATGACGTGTTGAAATAATTATTGACGCAATTTATAGTATATTTTCTTTTATCAACACTACATAGTATAAAACAAAGTCGCTGTCGCTGTCTGTCCGTCACTTTCATTCATTCATAATTTAAGAGCTACGCTCTTGTCGATGGAGCTCTTGCCACTTTCCGCGATCTTCCATCATGCTCTTTAATTCTTGATACGACACGACTCCCATTTTGTCCTCAATTTGTTTGATGTAGCTATTGTCCCTATGTATGCTTAAATCTTTAAAACTACGCAACGGATTTTAAAGCTGTTTTTTAATAGATAAAGTGATTCAATAGGAAGGTTTATATATGTATATAATACATGTACACCCGTGCGAAGCCGGGACTAACTAGTGTATTATACAGCCGAAGAGTTTGTGTGTTTGAACGCGTTAATCTCAGGAACTATAGGTTCGAATTGAATAATTCTTTTTGTGTTGAATAGTCCATTTGTCGAGGAAGGCTTTAAGATATATAACATTACGCTACGACCAATAGGAGCGGAGCTGCAATGAAAAATATTGCAAAAGGTGGGGAATTAAACGCAGACGAAGTTGCGCGGATCAGCTAGTATATATAAAACTCTCGTGTCACTGTGTTAGTTACTATACTCCTCCGAAACGATTTTTACGAAATTTTATATTCATATTCAGAGGTCTGAGAATGGACTACTATTTATTTTTCAGATCCCTAAGTGACAATTTTTGACAATTTTTTTTAAATTTTATTTTGCTTTGGTATTAAAAATACATACAAACCTAAATTGTCACCCTTCTATAACCAACCCCTATTGTTAATTGCGATATTAGTACTTAAATTTATATGACAAAACAATGTTTGCGTTTAATCTTTACATATAAAAATTACGTGACACGTTGTTTG